ATGGTCACCTACTGTGAATAAAGCACTTGGATTGTTTACCAGGTAGTTAATTATATTGACAAGCTCTGAGCCAGTACACATATACTCAGAACACAAGTATACATCTCCCATTGCCTAAAAATGTTATTTAAAAGCACATTGCCATAAACCCCATGATACTTGGTGGGACTTATAGGAATAGTTTTTTCAATTTTTTTTGTAGTGGAACTCATCTGTCCAATTATAGAGAAACTCCTGAAAACTACCTTTTGCTTTATGAAAAACAAAGTCTAGTGTAGGTTCATAGTAATGTTAGCACAATAATAGAAAGACTTTGTTTGCATTTACTGTGAATAGACTGTATAAGTTTAACTACACATACACTATCATACATGCTTTACATACACATGATAATACATTTTTGTCTGCAATTTTTCAGAAGAAAAGTTGGAAAACCTGGTTTTTTTGAATCTTATCCGTAATTAGCAATTTCTAGAATAAATACACACACATATATATTTAATATGCTTACCTGTCTTTCCTACATGTTTCACATTCTTAAAAAATTCCTTAAATTTTGTTGTAACAACTGTTGTGATACTCCACAACAAACCACTTCACAATGCAGTGCAGTTAACAAAATGTTTTGGGTTCAGAGCAGTTGACACAGTAACTGAGAAGATGACAAAAATAAACTACATTTGCACTCTTGGTTTCCCAGTAGAACTTCTAGCAAGAAACCCCGAAGGAAACAGTGAATAGGTAGCAGCATGCTCTGCAGACCTAAGCCCCTCTATATTTTAACAACACAACACAACTACAGAAGGGCAGCTAGGAACCAAGTGGTGGTGTGGGATGAAACAAAGTTCAGGAGAAGGAAGACAACTGTGATTTAAATTTTCCAGTTGTAATAGGCTGCTCCCATCTAGCTCAGATAGTGACTGGTGATGAGTCAGTTCAGTATAAAAATTCTGAAGTGTTGGTCTTATTGCAGTTCCTAGAACACAGCCAGCCAAGGCACAGAGCTAAAAAGAACCTAACCTAGTTTCATGGCAGAAGTCATCTTTAAAATGGCAAGGCACACTGACAGGCTGTCCTGGTGAAGTTACACTGCCATAATACCTTAGTAGTCTGCTCTGTCTTTCCTCTGGGTTGTCATTTCTTGGGTGTGCAATTTATTCCATCTGCACCAGTCACCTGCACACTAGAGCTATCAGTACAGTAGTACCATTCTACAACAAATCCATGATGAATTTAAAGTTTATGTTTAAGGTAGACATTACCACAGAAAGAAAAAAAATCTTTTTTTTTTGAGCTTCAATCATCCATTGCTTACTCCTTAGATGACCCAAAGTTAATGCTTTGATAAAAGGGAAGTGCAGAACACCCACTGACCAACAGCGGCCTCCAATCCTCCAGAAGCTGATAGAAGAGACTCTAAACCTTAAATTTCAACATATGCTTACATCTTCACAGGACCAAGACAGTAATACAATCCAGTTTATGCAATACATGAATACAGTATTTCTGTAAATTTTCTCAGGCATCTAATTAGCAGTTACTCAGAAAAATTAGAAAGTGGTGTAGTAAAGGAACAATATCAAGTCATTCCAGGGAAATGTAATTAATCACAGCCAAGTGTATTTGCCTAGAAAACATAATTCTTCTCTGCTGAGGTATCTAATACTGAGAATAACTGCTGTAAAATGGAGGCTAGTGCTTAGAGCTAACCAGACACACACACTTCAACGAAGCATTAATACTAGCCAAACACCTTATAATTACAGACAGCTGCAAGTTCATGAAGCTCTTTGCAAATAGTTCTGTTCCACCACTCCTGCCACTGGCAGCTGCAGTGCCGTGTACCCTGAGCACGGGATACAGGACTCTCCAAAAGATACTGTGGCAGAGGCTGCATTGCAGCTATGCTTTTTGTAAACACAAAGTGTTCTCCCTTTTTCCACCAAAGCCTATTACTTCTGTATTCATACATCTCACTTCAGTGGAAGGAAAGAGAGCATTTCTTTGCTTCGTTAAAAGATGTGAAAGAAAAGGAGAATTTATTTATCTGGTCATCTGGGACAGAGAGAAATTATGGGCCTAAAGACAATGGGACTTTCATAAGCAGAAGAGTCTGCAGAAATGGGTTTAACTGGACTCACCTGAGTTCTTATGACATACTAAAAGACATGGAAAGAGTGTCTTAAGAGGTAATCCTTTAATTCAAACCATATTAACTTATTTGAGATGCTGGTCACCACTGTCATGCTAATAATAGATATTACTTCTTAGCAACACTAAGATTTTGAGTGTGTGAAAAGGAAAGAAGGTTCAGCATTTCCTCTTTTTCTTTCTCAGTAGGAAATCCATTGTTGCATGTGTAATACCATACTGGAAGAGGACAAAAGAAAGCATACATTTCCACCTTGGGTTCAATAAATGGAAAATATCAAATCTGCCATTACTTTCTAACCATCTAGTAGGACCTGATGAATTAATGAAACTGTATAACCTGGGGAAGCAATCTCACAGTAACAGTAAAATTAATGTATAAATACAGACTGAGTTGTGCAAAGGGCAAAAGAAACTGAACTTTTTAAAAAAGTACCTGCCTCAAAGCTGTTATTCATGTGACATCAATGCGACAGTTGTGAATACTGCAAAGGAAAGAGAAAATACTGTAAAAGTAGTACATAAGAAGAAGAAAAAAACCCCCACCTTACAAGTGTTACATGTATTGCTGTTAATTGCATGGAATTTTGCTGGATGTGGCTTCACAAATTAGGCAGCCACAGCAACAGCATGCAGGAAATTTCAGTGATGGGCCTGCAGTACAGTCACATAGTGCAGACAATAAAATGTGATTTTTGTATGGGCAAAAATGTCACCATTATAACCCAAATAGTAAAAAAACCTCTAAATACCAACACATATTTTGGCCCTGTAGGTAAGCAAAGTTTCAGAAGGCCACTAAAAATTTCCATCTGTTCTATATTTTACTTTGCCTGTAGTAACTGTACCTATTTGAGTCACCAAGTCAACCTTTTATAGTGATTGGATATCACTTTTTTTCTTAAGGACATATGCACACCCATGCATATTTCAGGCAGAAGTCAGTACAGTTGATCCTAAACCTAAAGCAATTATATTTAATCAAAGAACTTAGCTTATGTACAAGTCCCACAAATTACTAAATACATGGTTTATTAGGTCTGCATAGTTCCACAAAACAGAATTTAAGAGATTATTATTTCACGACATGGACTAATTTGCTTTTTGTAATTCCCAGCTCCAGCACGCTGCTATCCAGAAGGATTTTTATCTGTGCTCATTATTACTGATACATAGTATGCAAAAGAGGCACTGCTGAGAATGCATATACCAGAAATGGAAGTATCTGCTATATAGGCAATACCAAACAACAGAAACTACTCTTAGAGTGCACAGTTCAAGTAACTTAGTACACTCAAGACTGCTGAGAGGCTGATATTCCAAGCATGTTTTGCATGCCAATAGCATAATTTGATTATGTTATCAAGCCTCCAGGTATACCTCTTTCTGAACAAAATGGGATTGTACAAAACGAAAATTAGTAGTATGACTTCTACCATTGCAGATTCAATAAATACACACTCACAAACACAATTCCAGCACACTAAAAGAGAACAATAACAAAAAAATTAAACATTCAGAGGTTTGGCTAAGATTTCTAACCCTATACAAAATCTGTTATTCTTAACTCTTCAGGCCTACAACTTGTAACTGTCCCTGTAGCTCCAACCACGACAGCACTGGTATGAGAAGGTACAGAGACAGATCCTTGAGCCCACGCAAGCCTTACTGACTTAATTGCTCTTTCTATATGTCCCCGTGTCTGCTGGTAGGACCGGCTGTGTTCAAACACTGCACAGAAAGAACATTGTTTGCTCTGAAGCATTTTGGAGTTTAGCTTCACCTAGCCTGACAAGAACATTGATTTATAGCTTAAAATAGCAGAACAAGGATGAAAACACCTAAAAGTCAGCAGTAACTTTTGAAACCTAATTCTGTGCTCAGATTACCAAGGAAAGGAACAAGCGCAGACTGCAACCTTATAACTCCTCACTCACATGCTTTATTCTATTACCACGAGCGCTGCCCGTGTCACAAGAGACTCGCCGGAGGGCGGGCAGCGCAACGCTCCGTGAGGGCTCACCCGGAGCTGCGCCGGGACTGGCGGCCGTGCTCCCACACGGGAAAGCGGGAATTTATGTTCCCCTCTGGCTACGGCTTGTACTCCTTCCTCCGACACCACGCCGCTCACTTAAGTGTATTTAAACGAGCTCCCGCACCCGTGCCGCTGTTACCACCAGTTACAGGGATAAAACCTAAGGCGAGGTTCGCTCTCCCACTACATGACGCCCCGGCCCGCACAGCAGGGCCGCCGCCGCCTCAGCGCTGTCCCGCCGCGTCCCCTCAGACTCAGGGGGGACACCGCTCCCCACCTCAGGCGGGAGGGCAGCGGGACAGAGGGAACACCCCTCCGTACCTCAGGCGGGGCGCGGGCGGAAAGGGGCGCCCGCCACCTCTCCCCACTTTCCCTCTGTGGGGCGGAAGCGGTCGGGACCGCGCCCCGGGCGTTCCGCCCCGGGCCGGCTGCGGGCGCTGAGGGGAGAGCGCAGCCCTGCAAGGAGGGGCGCGCCCCAAGCAGCGCCTGGGGACAGGGGTTGGGTTCGGTCCGGCGAGGGCCGTCACCTCCCCCCGGCCGCCCCCGTCCCGGTGATGCCCAGTGTCAGACACCCGGCCGGGAGGCCTCGCTCCGCCTCAGCCCGACAGAGCGAACTCACGCCGGCGGGCGGGCGTGCCGCAGGAATCCCGGAATCCCACCGCCCCCCTCGGCCCCCGCTATCCCGGCACTCCGGCTTTAATCGTCTCCTTATATGGACACCAGAATGTCTGACGTCATCCCGACGCTGGGAAACCAGCGCCCGCGCAGCCAAGCTCGGTTGGGAAGGCGGGTGGTGCGGGAAAGGTGGGGGGCGGAGGGGGAAGGAGGCTCTGGAATGTTGATGGACGTGGCCTTGCGCCACTGGGAGCGGCGGCGCCGGGTCGGCCATTGGGCGAGGAGGGCGGGGGCGGGAGCGGCGGGAGGGGCCGGTTGTGGCGGTTGAAAAGCCGCCGCCTGGCTGGGGAGCGGCGCCAGTGCGGGGTGGGCGCTGTCGGGGGGAGGCAGGAGGGTAGCGAGTTCGAGTCCCGCCTCTGCGAGCCTGAGCCGGGAGCTGCTTCTCTGGGCTGCCGCACTCCGCTCCTGGGCGAGGGGAGGTCGGAGTAGTCGTTTGGTCTCCTCTCCTTCCTCGTTCCCCTCTTGGCGCGGAGGCCGCGGCTCTCGCTGTGGGGCGCCAGCTCGCAGGGACAGAGTTTGCCAGGAGTTTGTGCGGACTTCGGGCCCCGGCCCCCCGCCGCGCCGCCGCCATGCCCGTCTTCCACACGCGCACCATCGAGAGCATCCTGGAGCCGGTGGCCCAGCAGATCTCCCACCTGGTCATCATGCACGAGGAGGGGGAGGTGGACGGCAAGGCCATCCCGGACCTCACCGCCCCCGTGTCGGCCGTGCAGGCCGCTGTCAGCAACCTGGTGCGGGTGAGTAGCGGCGGCCGGTGCCTGCTCCGCGCCTCCTCTTCCCGGAGCCACTTCGGCCGCCGCGGCCAACTTGGGAGCCCGCCCCGGGCTGTCGCGGACAGGTGAGCCGGCCCCCGCCCCGTAAGGGACCGGCTGCCCGGCGGTGGTGGCCGGGAAGGGGTTAAGTTGGGAGGCTGCCTGGACCGCTACGGCTCCCGCCTGGAAGCCGCCTTGGGCTGTTCCCGCCCCGGCCGGCGAAGGAGCCGGGCGAGCAGTGCTGCGGAGCAGTGAGTTCTCCCAGCAGAGAGTTGTTCGCCGTGTCCGAGCGAGGAAGCCTTTGCCCACCTGAGGAGCGGCGTCGCGTTAAAGCGCAGCAGAGCGCCGTGGGTGCCGCTGTTCGTACCCGCCCCGAAACGCCTCGCAGATGGCTCTGATACGCTGTGGGGTTCCTCGCTGCCTTGGAAACTCCTATTTTAAGTGTGTGCACTATAAAAGGCAAAATACTTACTTGGCGTGAGCCCATCCTAAAAAAAAAAAAAATCAAATTCTGACAATTAAACCCCAGACTTCCCAGGCATTTGGTTTTGATTGTTAATTTGGTGAAGGCTGGCCGTTCGTTATCAGCGCAGGAGTCGAGGCGGGACAGACCTGTGGTTTCCAGGCATAGTCTGGAGTTGTAAGTTGTTCTTGTTATGTAGTCTCCAGTGTGAGTTACTGATCGCTGGTGGGAAGCTGAAATTCCGCTTGAATCTCTCGATTTCTTGAGATCAGCTGTGCATAGCATGTCTCTTTAAGATCTGAGCATCTGCAGTGTGGACATTTCAGTTTGGGAAGTGCAAGTGATTAATACGATTGAAGTGTTTCACTTCTATAAGTACTTTTATAACCATCAAAAAGAAATTTTGATATAGAAAACACTGTGATGTTGCATACTCTTTTATTGCATTAAGAATTACTTGGTAATACTTAACTTACACTTCTGTTAAGTTCATTTACAGATACTGAATTAATTTTTGAACATCAGATGTTGCTTGCTCATTTTGAATCCTGTAAAATTCTGAAGTAATTCATGGCAAGCAATACCCTTTGCCAGTAAACCTTACCTTAAAATGAGTAACTATGTAGAGTTAAAATACTGTGTCGCTATTAACTTGATGTATTAATGCACTGAAATTGTGAGGCTTGTAGGTATAAGAAACTGTCAAGATGACTAATGTAGATGATGTGTTTATCATCTTTTGGCCTGTAGTACTTTCTACTGCTAGAATAACTTGCCACTTTGATATTCTGCAGTTTACTACAGTGTAGCTGCATCTCTTCGTCCCCACGACTGTGAATTTTACAGGTTGTGCTGCCTGGAATACTTGTGCTTCCTGCTGACTTTAGCAGAAACTCTTCTTACGAAGAACAATTGGTCTGCAGCAACAAAGTGATGTAATAGGTGTATTGGCTGTGAGGGTGTGAAGCATGAGTATATGAAATACTTTTCCTTGAAAGGAAGACTTTGGAATAACACTGCTTCTCTGAGCTTAGCCTGTATCATTGGTTTGTGTGACTGTTTTTCCCCACCCCACCTTCGTCTCAAAAGAAACTTGATCTGATAAAGTCTTATTTATTGGAGAAATGCAGAAACAGAACTAGTTTCATTCTGCAGCTTGCTAATGCCTGCTCTTTTTTCATTTTGGACTGTTTTGGAAGCCTCTGGTTTTCTTTTCTTGCCTGCTAGTTAGATAAAAGAAAGGACTGTTGAATTATTTTTTTGTGTGTTAATTCACAAAGAGCAAATAGAAGTGATGTAATCTGAGGTGGTACTTACCAGGAAGATGCCCTTACCTGGTAGAATACAGCTTTGCGTACATTAGGAAAAATACAGAATTAAAGTTCTGTTTCCTGTCTGGAGCTGCATTTTTCAGTGCATCATTCCAAAGTGTAAATGGGATTTGTGAAACAGCAATTTCACTGGAGCAGGAATATATATGCAGACAGGTTATCAAATTATGAGCCTTCTGGTGTCCTCACAGGTGACAGCAAAGATGGAGTTGTCAGTGCAAGCAAGAGAGTAATGCCAACGAGCTGCCAGCTCCTTGTGTTGCTGTCTGCTCTGGATTTGTTGTGTAGCGCGACTGTCACAAAGTAAGGGGAAGTACTGATGAGCAGAGAATTCTTTAGTGATAAACTGTCACACACAGCAACACTGTCCTCCAGCTCCCCAGCCTAGAGTAAGGACTCCACAGTTTGGAAAGTGCAGGATTTAATTGATTTAACTGTTGCATCTGTAAGTAACTGCTGGTGGCAGTGTTTGAAGTCCTGACACCCATTCTTGTGCAAGGGCCAGGAGTTGTGCTGTATGGGGAAATGGGTTAGGAAATGACTGTATGGCTGTGAGGAAGGACCCATGTGCAATAACTTACTTTGTTGGTATTCCTGAGATGGAGTTAGCACAATACACTGTACTCAAGATGGAACAGAAGTCTTAATTTAAGTCTATTAGATAAATTAAAAAGGAGTCCTTCTCCTAAATACCTTGATTTGAGATTTCTTCCTTCAGTTTGCATTTAACACGCACTCCTGTATTTTCTGTCAGAAATGTTTGTGCTGTATTTTAAGGTTTGCCTGAAGCCATCTTAAAATACGTGGGTATTTTAATGCAAAATTTGCACACCCAGGAAGACCTGTAGAGATGCCTCCTTGTCAGAACCTAGTTGTAATCCTGGGTAAGAGATAATACAAGTCATTGTTGAAGTTAATGAAATAATTGAGTCTCTATGAATTAGTTTTTCCCATAGTAAACACTGAAGAAAGACTTGGTATTCTGTTTCCAATATGTGGGTTTGATTCTACTGCATCTTGAATATTCTGTTAGGACATAGCTTTTGCAGAAGAATTCTCAGATTGTTTTGAAGTATTTTGATGAAGTTTCTTAACTGTGAAATAAAGTACTTGTGGCCTGTGCAAAAATTCAACATGTGGAGGGAGGTAAGCATCAGAAGCTTTTTTGCACGGAAATAAGCTTTGACTGAAGCCAAATATTTGAGGGAGAGGCTTCAGATACCACAAGATTATTAATGTACTAAATCTGTTCTTTTGCAACAGAAAATCTTTGTTTTTGTTGGCTGATATTTGTAGTGGATGTGTGCCTCTTATGGGAAGATTGATGCTTGGTATTAGCTGAAGATGTGATGCTCTAAGTCAGCAGAAGTGGTGCTGGTGATAGTAATAGTCAAGACCACCCCATGGGTAGGGAATAATTTTCAGCTTGCTAAATATAGTATTAGTTCAGTGGAGAGTGAAATGAAATTCTGATTTCTAACTGGTCAAACATCCTAGGGAAGAAATGAACCATATGGTGGTTTTCTAGTTGTTTGTGGTTTGTTTTTGTTTCCTAGTTCTTTGGTTTTTCTTGCCTTTTTTTTTTTTTTTTAACACTCATCAGACTTTTAGCCTACTTTTGAAAAGAGGGATTTCTATCAGAGATGACTAATGATGATGCAGGAATCTTAAACCAATTGCACACATCATATAAATAGCTTCATTTCATGGAGGAGAAAAAAAACCTACTTTCCAATAGTGAATTTACAAGCATTTATGTTCAGACTAATGTTATATTGTAGCCAAACAGAGAAAGCAAATTGTACTCTGTTTTAAACTCCATTAATTTACTGCTTTGTATGGATTGTGGCGTTCTGTCAGTACAGGCATAGCCCACTCTGGTCCCTTCTCTGCTGTTTCGGGCAGAATTGCTTCAGAGCAGTGCTGCTGTTGCTCTGCCAAATACTGGCAATACCATAGGTGATGCTGCTGAGTTTGACAGAATGGAAACAATTCTCTGCATGGAAATTAAGGTAACAGAAGGGACTTGGGAAGTACACGTCATTTGAATATCAGGGCAGGCTCAGCAGCTCTAAGAGGTATCTGTTTTTCAGAGGCTGGGTTGTTCGACCAGGTCAATGGGCTAAAAGGTCTGACCTGCTTTACCTTAGACCAATTGCCTGACCAATTACCTTGTTTTCATGTCCTTCATTTTTACAGAGTTTGAGGCATCTGAGCAAAGTGATACTGCTGTGGAATGCTTGTAGTGAAAAATTTAAGACACGGTAACAAATGAAGTGGCTGAGGTCTTTGAGAACAGAGATCTGCTCTGAAAAAACAGTGCTTGTTTAGTTGATAATGCAGCTTCTGCCTTTCCATCCTCTGTGCTATAGGTGCTGTATTTCTGTATGTGAATCTATGTTTCACAAGTGTCTACATGCATCCAGTTTCTATTACGTTATTTTTTAATGGGGAACAGTTGCTTTGCTCTCTATTAAATTGTTAACAATCATGTTTCTCAAGAATGTGTTCTTGTTGGATGCTGGGATATGCCTTTATTTACCTCCTGATATTTGGAGGCTTATGGAACAGTACTGACATATTTCTGCGTCTCAGTTACTAACTCTAACTAGCAGTTCAGACTAATCATCAGGAAGGGTCTCTTAGATTATAAATATCCTGTCTCATAGTCATGGTTTATCAGATGTTTCCTTTAAGTAGAGCTGGGCCAAGCACTATTTTAAAATGTAAATAAATGTAGTCTAGAGTAAGATGAAGCTTAACCGGAGACTGTACTCGATGAGAACAAGACCCTGTAGCCCTGGATCAGTCAGTCACTTGTGTCCGAGGTTTTTTTCACTTCTTAAAGTTGTAAGGTCAGTGTCTTTAAACTACCACCAGCTGAAGCCCACCCTATCTAAGCACAATTAAAACCACCCAGATAACTCTAAAAACAGATGAAACTTGATACCAGTAGTTAGGCAGTGACATAAAGTGTAAACTAAACAAAAAAGTTTAACTGTGGGAGAGTTGCATTTAGTGTAGCTGTAGCAGCTGTCTTATCTCATCCTAGCAGATGAAGTAATAATCACCTGAAGCCATTGGCACATTCTGACTGCATAACCATGGGTCTCTCTCAAGTGAGAAGTTGGCTGGGGTTGTAGGGCCAGGTGGAAATCGCTGATCATTTTCCCTGGACAAGCTCTAAATTG